TATCTTTATAAATAAATATATCAAATTATCAGCAATTTGGTTTTATCTCTCTAGAGAACCCTGTCTAACACAGAGACCTTGGGTCACACCGGATATGTGACCTAGACTGGAGACTCGGCACATTCATAGATTTAGGTTGTGACTGTCCATTCCAGAAAGACCAACCATGTGACGTAGGATGGAGGTCATGGTTGCTTTCTGGAGGGATTGGAGACTGAGATCAGGCACCATGGGCAATCAGTCATGTCTAGGTAATAAACCAGAAAACCATATCAGTTGCTGTCAAGTTGATTCTGACACATGGTAACCCAGAAGTTCCGTAGCAGAGCTTACTGTGCTTTGTAGCATCTTCAATGGCTGCTGTCTTCCGAGGTGAGTCTGGGTGATTTGAACCATTAGAGCTATCAGGGAGTAGTTGCCCAGTGATTAACCACTTGCATGACCCACAATTTTTCCTAGATAATGAACTCCCAATAAGAATTCTGAACATGGAGGCTTACGTGCGCTTCCTTGGATGACTATATTCCATGAATATAATCATGCACCAGCACCAGGAAAATAGTGCATCCTGACTCCATATAGAGAGGACAGTGGAACTCCTGTGTCTGGCACTTTCCAGACCTCCAGCCTAGGCAGCTTCTCCACTGGTGGATTTTAATCAGGCTATAACTGTGAATGCCTTAGGAACCCTGTGGCATACCGTGTTACCGGTTGAGCTGCAAACCGAAAGGCCAGTACATCAAACTCACTAGCTGCTCCTTGGGAGAAAGAGAAGGCTTTCTATTCCTGTAAAGATTTACAGTCTCAGAAACCACAGGACAGTTTTACCCTGTCCTATAGGGGCGCCGTGGGTCAAAACAGATTGCATGGCAGTGAGTGTGGGTGGGTTAGCTCAGCTGTGACAGAAATACTTCTAGTGGGTGGCTTTAATGAACAGAGATCGGTTTTCTCACAGTTTAGGAGACTGCAAGTCTGAGTTCAGGGCTGAGCTGGCTCTCAGGCAGTGTTCTCTTTGTTGGTTATGTGGGGGACCCATTTTCTCTATCCCTGATACCCCGCAGATTCTGGGCAGTCTTCATATCTTCATATGGAACCCATTGCTCTCTTGTTCCTGTATCTATTGTGCTCTTGTTAACCCAAGTGATTAAGATTAGGAAACCCTACTCCCAAATGGAATGACTTCCACAATACAGAGGTTAGGATTCTTGTTAAGTATTCTAGGGGAGACTCAATTCAGTCATAACAGTGAGTATAAGAATGTTTCATGAATTCTATGTCTTTCTAAAAATTGTTGAACCTGGAGGTGATCTTAGAGGACCCTGAACTTAAAAGTGGCGTGAGAAGTCACAGTGGTCTTGGAAACCTCCCAAACTTGTAGTTGGTGTCAGAAGTAAGATCCACCTTGTATAGGACTGTGTCCTCCAACTTTCTCGCAAACTGCCACCAATTGCTACTATTAGTCCCTGGTGCTGTCACCCCTTCTTCTCTGTGGGTATCCAGGACTTTCATCCACGAGTAGAGTGTACTTGAGAACTCCCTTCTCCTTTTACCTCAGTCCCATAGTTCTGCTTAAGGACTTACCTTCAACCACTTCCAAAGATCTTCTGAGCCCCTTTTCTTAAAATATTGAGACAATCCACTCTGATATGTTTGAGGCTCCAGCAATGGATTATACAAGATTTAATCTAGATTTTTATTATTAAAACATTCTTTTAACGGCAAAAATTAAAAAATATACCCTATCTGACAAAAAATATCTTACCGATAAGACAAAAGTCTATTTTATGCCTCTTCTCGGACTCTGCAGTTAGCTCTCCCAGGACTCTCCCAGCGGTAGCCATTGTCATCCGTGGTGTGTACTTGTGCATCGCGGCCTCTCTTTCTGCTGTGCACATACACAAGAGGCCTTGAGAAAACATGGGAAGACGGTATTAAAAGATAACGGACGGTTTCCATGCACATGTTGAAGCTCCCCTTAGATATATTGTGTATGTGTGCATTCATCCAAATAATGCTATACTGTATTCTTATTCTACAATTAATCTTTGTCTAATAACTAATTCTTCAACAGCTTGTCTTGGTGATTTCTTCCTTTTAGCCCCAACAGACCTTTGCCATTCCTTTAAACTGTGCCCACTATTGACACTGTCTAACAATGTAGTTTCTAGCCTATGCATATGAATTTAAGTTTCTTTATTTAAAAGACAATTACAGTAATGACATGAACATTCTATATGTCGTTTGGTGCATGTGCAAGTATTCCTCTGGAGTAAATTCTGAGGGCCCGAGCATCTCTTATGCTGACAGACGCTGCTGAATTGCTCTTCTGAATTGTACTTGATCACATGCTGCTGGAAGGCCTGAAATTAATAACGTGAACATTGTTTTTTTTTAAAAAATCTCAGAAGCAGTGGTTTGCATAATCTTACTCTTAATAAGCCTTGGAGAAAGTGCCTCACACACTGGTTGAGGCAGAAAATAGAATAGCCATCCACGGCCTTATTTTTAGTCTGAGTAAAGGAACTCTGGAATGAGATCCAGTCAGGTAGAATTTACCTTGGGAAGACAGTAAGTCACTTGCACTGTAATCATAGCAGACAACAGAAGATTCCTGGGGGAAAAGTATTGTTAAAATATAATTCTTAGGAAAAGATGAAATCAAGGCTAGCATACAGATATAAAAACGAATGCATGTCGAATAGTTTCTTTTGCTCATATCATATGAGGGAGTCAGGAAACATCAGAATCAATGCACGAGTCTCATGTACTTGAGTCAATGCACCACAGATTTACATGAACCAGTGGCACTGGTTATGCGCTCAGTTGCTAACTAAAAGGTTGGCATTTTGAATCCACCCAGTGGCTTCGTGGAGAAGAGACTTGGCTTTCTGTTCCTGTAACGAGTATAGCCTAGAAAACCCTATGGGGACGTTCTCCACTGTCCTTTAGGGTCACTGAGGCTGGGTCCTCGAGAAGCAATGCTAGTGAAGCTCATTTATATATGTACGCACACAGAGAGATTTACATCAAGAAAGTGCCTCTCACACTGGTTGAGGCAGACAAGTTCCAAGTGTGCAAGTCAGATGTCCGACTAGAGGCGTCTCCAGACTTACATAGCTGCTGGGGTTAATGAACTCCGGATTGGCAGGTCAGACCACAGGCTGTAGAGGTGAATGGATACAAGGGCAGCAGGCTGATGATGACTCTCCGGGTTGGCAGGCAGTATGGCAGGCTGTTGGCTCAAGTCCAAAGAACCAGTAGGCTGCTGAGGAGCCAGAGTTAGGTCCAGACCCAGCGAGAAGCAAGGGAGTGTTGCCAAACATCCAGGGTATTGGAAGCAGGCCGTACCCTTGAGGGAACACACTTTTTTTCTTTTCTGTTTTATTGGCATATCATTGACATATCATACAATTCAATAGTTCAGTCATATTAAGAGGAGCTGCACAATGACCACCACAGTCAATTTTAGAAAACATCGTTCTTGTTCTTGTTATTAGCTCCCCATTGAGGTAACATTCTCTCTTGAGTGGATGCTCATAGCACAGTTGGCATCCTTAAGAGACTCAAATTAAGTTCCTTTTCAATGCTGAGTGGTTTTTTTGGGGGGGCGGTTTGCAGAAATATGAAGGGTCACTCTCAGGGATGTAGGGTAGATAGGGTATGATTTGCTAAGGAAATTCTCATGGGACAGCCCCTGGTCCCCTCCCAGAAGGAGCATGTGCATTGCCATAATAGACAACAATCCCTTGGTTGAACCTTCCTGGTGTTTTGCTCACCAATGTAGCTTTCCATTTGTGGATTTCTTCCCAGAAATCTCCCACCCCCGTGATCATTCTTTGTCCTGCAGGAAAATCTAACAAGATTGCGTTTTTGCCTTCTTCGGTATCTTCATCATCTTTCTCCGGCAGAGCAGTGGAGGGTCTGACAACTGACCTTGTGGTTAGCGGTTGGGGCTTATCAGACAGAGCCACCAAAGTTCCTTACGTGTTGGTTTTTTTGTCTAATAAAAGTTCATGTGATTTTGCAGCAATACTTTTTGACGTGCCCTTGACTAACCACGTCACTGAAGAAGAGGTAGGGAGGATAAATTACAGTGAGGGAAGAGTTAATGGGAGAACAAAGAGAAGCGGTTATTCCCCCACGTTCACAGCGGGATGTGGGAGAGAATTCGACAAGCTGTTGTGACAATTGTGGTGCTACATTTTTGGATGCTTTGCTTTTACTCTGGATATAGTAATGCAATCTCCCTCCTCCCCCATTTCGTTAAATTCTAGAAATGATAGCCAGTGTAAGTCTATTTATATACACTCAACTCACTGCCACGGTGTGGATTGGACTTAAAGCAACCCTGTAGGACAGGGTAGAACTGCCCCTGTGACTTTCTGATGCTGGACATCTTTCTGGGAGTAGACAGCCTTCGCTTGCTCTCCAGAAGCGGCTGGTGGTTTAGAACTGCTGACCTTGCAGTTAGCAGCCACTGTGCCACCTGGCTTCCCTGTGGATTTCTGAGGAGAGCCTCTTTGTTCTCCTGCAGAACAGCTGGTGGTTTCAGACTGCTGACCCCCGGGGAGCAGCCTAACATGTAACCCGCGGCACTACCGGGCTCCTCGCTCACCCCTCAGAAATTCATCTAGAGCACCATTCGCAACCTTGGGTCGTGACCCCGTTGGGGGTCGAAAGACCCTTTCACAGGGTCGCCCAAGTCCTAACAGTAGCAAAATGAAGTAGCAACGAAAATAATTTCATGGCTGGGGGTCACCAAAACACGAGGAACTGTGTGAAAGGGTCGAGGCTTCAGGAAGGTTGAGAATGAAACCAGTCTGGCGAGGGGTGATCAGTGAAGATGGTGGAAAGTATGGGACTCAACACTGTGGTCTCTAATCTCACTCTAATTCTTTTTCTTATTAGATGTGTTAGTTTCTCACGTATAGAAGATGTTGTTCAATTCTACACTTTTGCATTTTCACCAATGTACTTACTTTTTTTTTCTTTCTCAACAGGTAGAAAACAGACCAAAGTATTATGGAAGAGAGTAAGTACGGACTATCAGAAACCCTTTCATAGACTGGAAAATGTAAGCGAGACTGGGCAATGGATACTTTTTATGGCAGTGAATGAACAGAAGTTGCACTGAGCAGTGTGAAAGCAGGCAAGGACAGCTCTTATTCAAAGAAAGGGAGGGAGAACTTCATGAAGGGGGAAAGGATCGAGGGGTCAAAGGCACCTGTCACTGTAACGAGACCATCACCAGGGACAGAAACTTGAAGTCGTTGTGAGCTGCTCTCTTGCAGAAGCAC